GTACATAAAAGCTCTGAAGTTCAGTACTTTTTCCTACAAAAATTTAATCTTCCAAATTCTCCAAAAAATGATGAAAAGTAAACTTATTTTCATAATCATGATTGACATTTATTGACTTCAGATCTCAAAGGAAACTTGTAAGACATGAACTGCAAAAAAAAAACCCAATTTACCCACAACGATTGAAAACACTTGACCTAACATCTTATCATTTTACAAGCAATAACTTCAGCTATCAGTATCAAGCCCATCTGTGATAATCAGATCTGACTTCTATATCAAAGAAAACAGTATCTTATTTCAATGACACTCCAAACACATAACTGACATGATAGCCATACCACTGACCATGTTGAGATACCAAAATTGAGGAGCTCTTCAGGGTTCAAGAGAACAAAATAAACAAGAAAATCTCTACAACACTTCCAGTTAAAAGTTAAAAAGTAAATATGCTGTACATGATATCCATCAAATCCAAGCATCAGATGTGGCCATTTTACATCTTACTTAAGCTAACTCCAACGATTCATAAATATATCACTAAGAAAATATCAACTTGTTCCAATTCAAGGTTATAGGACAAGAAGTCTAGCCGACAATATTATTTAACAGACAAGTTCCAGGGTCATGACTTCTATATAATAACAAGTTGCATGTGCTTGAAATAAGTACAGACTCATATGATAAGGTTGTGTTACACAAGTGTCACTTATAGTGAAGCATAATGTCATCAGGTGCCCCTAAATCTTGACTCATAGAATGACCTCAAGCTTGTAAATGACCTCTCCACTCTACTACAGTTTGATCTAAGCATACTGACCACATGAATCATACTGACTTACGTGCATCAGAAGGTATTAAGCATATACTGTACCAATAAACAAGTCAAAACATCCATCTATACCTAAAAATACAAACACAAAACAATGTATACTCAAAAATACAAACACACAACAATGTATACACAAAAATACAAACACACAACAATGTATACTCAAAAATACAAACACACAACAATGTATACACAAAAATACAAACACACAACAATGTATACACAAAAATACAAACACAAAAATACAAACACACAACAATGTATACACAAAAATACAAACACACAACAATGTATACACAAAAATACAAACATACAACAATGTATACTCAAAAATACAAACACACAACAATGTATACACAAAAATACAAACACACAACAATGTATACACAAAAATACAAACATACAACAATGTATACTCAAAAATACAAACACACAACCACGTAAACTCAAAAATACAGACACAAAACCATGTATACCTAAAAACACAAACACACAACCATGTATACCCTGAAAATCAAACACATGTTGATAATATATACCCAAAAAACAAACATTTACAGTCAGTAGATAACACAATACATCATCACATATACTTCAGATCACTTATATAGCTAGCTGAAAGAATTTCTGTACCAGCAACTGATTTTAAAATTATTTATCTACGAAATGTTACACTACCTGAAAGCAGAGCATTGTCTTATGAGTATTAACCACATTTTGAAAAGTTCTGGCCCCACTTGTATAAAACATCTCAACCTGAGATTTCCTCAAGCCCAGATTTTCCTCAGCTAATATCTCCTTGAAAATATCTTGTATGAAAATTCCTCAAGGAATTTCAGGACATCCTAGCCGATGCCTTCCTCCTGTTCCTTGAGAAAATTTTATACAAGCTGTTTTTGAGGAGATATCAGCTGAGGAAAATCTCGACTTGAGGAAATCTCAAATTGAGATGTTTTATACAAGTGGGGCCTGGTCTCCACTAGGGGACACATGCCAAAGCCTTTGTCACAGGGACACACACAACTAAAGGTCAAAAGTGAAATAGTGTCAGGAGAAACTAAAGGATAAAAGGTCTTTAGAAAAGAGAAAAAATCTAATCATCCTGTTCAGTCTCCTTTACGTTTAACCGATGGGGGCATCAGGTGCAATGTACCACTGCATGACAGTTATACATACAAGCATTGAGTAACTCAGTTTTGTTGATTGCTTCCCTAATAATCAATAAGGGATAACTACCAGTTACTCCTGGTGTTCATCCTAAAAGTCAACCTTCAGCTGTTGTTAATGTTCTCAGAGGTCATCACACACTTACATCCTCTAAAGACCTCTGCATGTGGTGACAATATTTGAACCAAACAGATACATATATTTTTCCAGATACAATTGTAAATGAATAAGTTTGGTGGAAATTGGTAACATACAGTGTATTACACTTCTAGTCTTGAAAGCCTTAACCTCTTAACCAAAGAGGTACAACTGGCCTGTATCATTCCCTTGTTATTCAATATTCATCAAAAATAGCAATATTCATCACAAATACATTAAAATATACACCGCTGACTTTCAATTTCAACATATCCAATCAATTTTAACTGATTTCCACAGTTAATAGCTTCTAATGCTCAACTCTGGCTTTGGGCATGGTGAGCTAATAAGTTATGTAACTCTGGCTTTGGGCACGGTGAGCTAATAAGTTATGTAACTCTGGCTTTGGGCACGGTGAGCTAATAAGTTATGTAACTCTGGCTTTGGGCACGGTTATGTAACTCTGGCTTTGGGCACGGTGAGCTAACAAGTTATGTAACTCTGGCCTTGGGCACGGTGAGCTAATAAGTTATGTAACTCTGGCTTTGGGCACAGTGAGCTAATAAGTTATGTAACTCTGGCTTTGGACATAATGAGCTAATAACCGGCATTAATCTGTGGAAAGATGAAAACACAAATGCCTATCCCAATTTTAAAATCAGCTAAGAAATCTCAAAAATGATTTATAACACTTTACAATGAAAGTGCTCAGAATGAATTGAAATACAAATGTAAGATCCAAATGTATGTATATGCTAGTTTACATGCCACATTTTAATTCAATCAAAAAGTGGCAGAGTTCAGAATATACACATGCACTTGATGTTGTAATGAAGTTATCTAACATATGGAAATTACAAAATTTGAAGATTCATGGGGGTAGTGCACCACCTTGTCTAGATTTCTACTTTTCTATCGATCACAGTGAATTTTCCTCGGTTGACTTCCAGGCTCCCAAGATTTTGGGCCTTGGCATCACTGCCCGTCCTCAGAAGGACAAATCAGGCTTTATGATCCAGTGTAATTCATTGTTTTGATCTACTCTATCTAATTCTAAATTTGTATTACAAGGTGCTCTTCACTGGCGTGTTTTTGTTCAACCTTCAACAATGGGACATAAAGAATAGGCATCTTCATTTAAGTCTTTAGAAAAAAGGCAGAGGACAGACAAATGAGTCACCAGATGGACAGACCAAGACATGGAGTGATCTAATTCTCGATTACTCCCATCTTTTATGCTACAGAGGTGGGTGGAAGTTTACAAGAAACCTGGAATCACAAAACCAAGTAGGACTGGCAATCATTGATGGAACCATGTTTTTTCTCTCAGCCTTAAGCTGGGTGCCTACACAAGTAATCACCAGACCATATATTACTGGCTGTCACTGATACAGGAACAACATTTCTTTGCGCAGTTTGTAGGTTGTCACTCAACACTTACATTTGTTTTTAAGTGTCTGCAGCATGTTGACATTCTCTCCACTGCTGAAGTTGAAGTACATTCACAGAGAAAAAAATTAAACTGGTACTCCACTCACCAATCTTGGCTTACTATGTAGCTCTACAACATTAATGACTAATGAAGTGCTTACAGATCCATTAGTCATAATATTCTCACTAAAATCTAGATTTCAATATCATTTTAGTGCGTTAAATTCTAAACAGTCAACAGCCTATTAACAAACCAATTTGATGGGTGAAAAGAACAATCTGGTAAAACCTCTCTATTACAGAAATTTGTTGGGTGAAAAAAACAATCTAGTAAAACCTCTACATACAGACATTTGTTGGGTGAAAAGAACAATCTAGTAAAACAATCTAGTAAAACCTCTCTATTACAGACATTTGTTGGGTGAAAAGAACAATCTAGTAAAACCTCTCTATTACAGACATTTGTTGGGTGAAAAGAACAATCTAGTAAAACCTCTCTATTACAGACATTTGTTGGGTGAAAAGAACAATCTAGTAAAACCTCTCTATTACAGACATTTGTTGGGTGAAAAGAACAATCTAGTAAAACCTCTACATACAGACATTTGTTGGGTGAAAAGAACAATCTAGTAAAACCTCTCTATTACAGACATTTGTTGGGTGAAAAGAACAATCTAGTAAAACCTCTCTATTACAGACATTTGTTGGGTGAAAAGAACTATCTAGTAAAACCTCTACATACAGACATTTGTTGGGTGAAAAGAACAATCTAGTAAAACCTCTCTATTACAGACATTTGTTGGGTGAAAAGAACAATCTAGTAAAACCTCTACATACAGACATTTGTTGGGTGAAAAGAACTATCTAGTAAAACCTCTCTATTACAGACATTTGTTGGGAGAAAACAATCTAGAAAACCTCTACATACAGACATTTGTTGGGTGAAAAGAACTATAAAAACCTCTCTATTACAGACATTTGTTGGGTGAAAAGAACAATCTAGTAAAACCTCTACATACAGACATTTGTTGGGTGAAAAGAACAATCTAGTAAAACCTCTCTATTACAGACATTTGTTGGGTGAAAAGAACAATCTGGTAAAACCTCTCTATTACAGACATTTGTTGGGTGAAAAGAACAATCTAGTAAAACCTCTCTATTACAGACATTTGTTGGGTGAAAAGAACAATCTAGTAAAACCTCTCTATTACAGACATTTGTTGGGTGAAAAGGACAATCAAGTAAAACCTCTCTATTACAGACATTTGTTGGGTGAAAAGAACAATCTGGTAAAACCTCTACATACAGACATTTGTTGGGTGAAAAGAACAACCCACAGTTAGTGACTAAAATAGGCGCGGTGACCTCAAATGACCTGGTTACCTTACAGACACTATTTGCTTGACCACACAAACGACAAAGATGAACTGACCTCCCCTCCGTTGTGGTTCCAGTAGGGCTGGTTTATCGTCAGTAAAACTCTCTCGGACATCCGGTCAGCCTTATTGGGATTATCTTCTGAAACCATCATTTCACTTATTTTTGTAACATGGTTACCACTTCCAAACTCTCCCCACGTAGAGTAGTAGATATAAAATTTGTTGTTCTCTTTGAACCGAGGGTGGAAGGCCATACCCAAGAATCCCCGTTCATCACCTTCGCTCTTCGTATTCATAACGTTTTCTTGAATATCGAGGAAAGGTTCCTGAATTTTCGATCCGTTTGGAAAATATATCTGAACCTGTCCTGTGACTTCGCCAACAAACAAACGATTGGTACCATCGCCCGCATGTCGCGCGAACACGGGATTTCGGAGTCCCGAGGCAATCTCCTCCATACATATACAACCCTTGGAGGTAACTTGAACAATGGATATTTTCTTGTTGAGAATGTCATTAGTTTCCAAATCTGGAAAGCAGTAACTGTTGTCCGCGAGGCCTACTTGTTCACAAAAAGCGTCTGCTCCATCCGAGACTAGGCGACGCAACACGGGATCACTAGTCATATATTTAACAATGCCTGCACATTTGTTATGAAATGATTTACAGTAGCCACGACATAGACCAGGAAATGATCTTGGGATCAATGATTCCTCGGCATCAAAAATATGAGCGGCATAAGGCGAACATTTGAGACACATGAACTCCCTGAGGTAGCCACCACATTCCCGCCACAAAGCAGACGGCACGTTGTTCCGAATGCCACCGTAGTCTGTCCTCAGCTGACGATCATCGTCCACCGTACAACATCCGAAAACGGAGTACTGTGGACAGAAAGTTAGGGCAGAACCGGCCTGGAACGGAGGCCGGAAGTCCAAACACTGAGGATGGCCGGCACAAAACCTAAGAACACACATGTGCACAATGAACAGGTGCAACACTAAACGGACATGCCAAGCTGTCATATCAAGTGTATTCCTCATCTTCATTGGAAACTGAAGTACGATTTTTAAACCCTTATTACATAACACCATCTATAAAACTTCCAAACCAAGTCATATTGACCGGACACTCGTAGAGATCACAACAAACACGTCTGCTTACAGCGGACTCCACACACCACTATGATCTCGCGTACGTAAAGCTTACATCTGCTAGCCTGTAGTATATGATAACGTCCGAGAGACTACATATACACAGTATGGCATGTACCCACACAACCACAGAAATACACTACAGACGATGTAAGACTGACAGCCTGTAGTCGGTCTGATAGCAAACATGTTAACATAACTGATAAACGATATGTATGGTAATTTTGTGTCAGTAAATTAATATTAACCTGAAATTTACAGAAACCTGGATGCACTTCCTTGTTTTCTAAATTAGTGTTTCCCTCCAAAGACATATTTTTTCAGTATAAAGTTAGCTAGTACCCAATTTGCTAATTAGTAAAATCAAGTAAGAGTGCCGAAGTTGTTGAATTTTGCGTATTACTTTCACTTTCCATGCTGATAGCATTTGCCTTGCAGACGTTGAATAGTTAGTGTCAGACTAGGACCTGATGTTGACAAACTTTGGATTTTTCACAGCGCGTTTGTTATATCTTTATTGCTGAGTATAACGTTTCTTCTTTTGTTTATATTTTCCTCTCAGTTCGTCGATTTCGTGACTGAATACAAAGTTTGTTCCCATGTCTGTTTTTTTGTTGATTATTCAAATACATATCTAAACATATATGCATATAGTGATGTTATCATGGATTGACAATCTATTGTACTTGATCTTGAGAACATACTGACGGGCCTCCTGAGAAATCTACGTGTGTTCGCAGAAAACAAATACTGTCATGATCACTATTTTCTCGAGGTTATATCAAATATGTCTATATGAACCAACGTGAAAGTCATAACCCTGACATTCATACTTAGTGTCCCTAGATCTAGCAACATAGCGACAGGATGCAATTTAACCTAGTAGTGGAACAGTGGTAAGTTATTCGGTAACGTAGTGGTAGAACAGCGGTAAGTTATTCGGTAACGTAGTGGTGGAACAGTGGTAAGTTATTCGGTAACGTAGTGGTGGGACAGTGGTAAGTTATTCGGTAACGTAGTGGTGGGACAGTGGTAAGTTATTCGGTAACGTAGTGGTGGGACAGTGGTAAGTTATTCGGTAACGTAGTGGTGGAACAGCGGTAAGTTATTCGGTAACGTAGTGGTGGGACAGTGGTTATTCGGTAACGTAGTGGTGGGACAGTGGTAAGTTATTCGGTAACGTAGTGGTAGAACAGCGGTAAGTTATTCGGTAACGTAGTGGTGGGACAGTGGTAAGTTATTCGGTAACGTAGAGGTGGAACAGTGGTAAGTTATCCGGTAACGTAGTGGTGGAACAGTGGTAAGTTATTCGGTAACGTAGTGGTGGAACAGTGATACTTATTCGCTTGTGAATTCAAAGGTCCCTGGATCGAAACCCCTTTCCATCGTTTTATTTTTGTTGTTGTTTTTCTTTCTTTCTTTTTGTTTGTTTGTTTTGGCTGGGGCGGTTAATTTATGTATATATTTTAGCTGAAGGGAGATAAGTTATTTTTCTCTTTTGTTTCATTCGAGAACCGCTACAAAACAAATATAATCATTGATTGAGATGGAAATTGTAATGTTAACATAGAGCTTTCGATTCTCATATGGTGATATTTACAAAAAGCATTGCATGTCCAAATGTTGCCCCACGTCATATCAGTCTTACCACTGGAACACTTTGGAACATAACATCAAATTTCTCTGACTATCACAGACATGCACATGAACAATGCTGTGTTTAATTGATGAATGGGGTCGGATAAAAAGAGAGAGAAATCTCGTAGTGTTTGCCGACCTAGTTGGTAGCCCGTTCAAATGTTCAATCTGTCAATTTATGACAATTCGTTTCAATTGTATGTATAGTCACCAAACGATTTGGGTAGAAATTGGCCATGTCGCCCCTACTGGGTGTCAAAAGTAGTTTTCAATGTAAGCATTAAGTTTCAAAATACATGAATGAACACAATTACAGAATTTGCATGAAGAGTCTTATCACAGGTAACGGCTGTCGAGAATTTGGCAACTTTCACAGGAATTATAACACTATAACACACTTGAGATTTATTGACGTCGAAGGTGATTTACTAGTTTACTGAGTTTTCAGTTGTTCCTATTTACAGTCCTACTGTGGTTTACTAACATATACAAAAAGTTCCTCTCCTGACAAAAGTTAACATACAATATATCAGTTTTCCCACAAGGGCATGTAACAAAGCATCTGTTCGAGGGGACTTGTGCAGCCTATTGTGCCTGGACGAGTAGGCTTATGCAGCCTATTGTGCCTGGGCGAGTAGGCTTATGCAGCCTATTGTGCCTGAGAGAGTAGGCTTGTGCAGCCTATTGTGCCTGGGCGAGTAGGCTTATGCAGCCTATTGTGCCTGAGCGAGTAGGCTTGTGCAGCCTATTGTGCCTGGGCGAGTAGGCGTATGCAGTCTATTGCCTCTAGGGGAGGAGGCTTGTGTAGCCTAATATATTTGGGAGAGTTGGTTTGTATAACCTTATGTCTCTGGGCGAGGAGGCATGTGCAACCTGATGTCTCTGGGGGAGGAGGCTTGTGCAGCCTAATATCTTTGTGAGAGTAGGTTTGTATAACCTTATGTCTCTGGGCGAGGAGGCATGTGCAACCTGATGTCTCTGGGGGAGGAGGCTTGTGCAGCCTAGTATATTTGTGAGAGTAGGTTTGTATAACCTGATGTCTCTGGGGGAGGAGGCTTGTGCAGTGAAATATAGTATACTGCATTACATGCCCCTGGGGTTTTCAATCATTTTTGATATGTCCGTGTTAAGTTTTCCTAAGCTAAGACATGATAACTGACGATGTCACCATTATACATTGTATGGTACCATCTTAGACTGTAATGATAGAATATGTCATCGCTATAAGAATTACTAATCGGAGCGAGCGGTCAGTGGTTAAACTATTGAATTAATTTGGGTAACTGTCTATATCTATTTAACTAATAACGGTTTAATAATAACGTGGAGACTTTTGTAACATGTATGTGTAGAATGCAATGCACATGTAATGTCACACGTAGTCACAATAGGATAGGTATTGCAATAAGGCTTGATATGTGGTACATCTGTGTACATAGTAGCGCAAGAGTCCAGTTCTACATAGAACGTCACATTAAAATCACAGAAGTTGCTATCACTAGAAGAATTGCATTAAAACAACTGAAATGGAAATGTCTGTGTGCAGTGAAAGTAAGTAACAAGACCAATTCCGAATTCAAGAACAGAGAGTCTGGAACTTCTGCCAACCTGTCTCTAACACATCCGCCCATCCGCGATACGCATCGAGCGCTGATGATTCCCATTCATACTTGGTGATAAAGTACTTCTCCAACTTTTCTCTCCTCTTTTTCATTCTCTCTGGGTTATCGAAATCTGAACGTTTTTCTCGTTCTGCCCATATCTGGTCTTGTTTGTCTGTCGTGACGTCGTTTGCCAACAGATTTTCCTCTATAACATTCCAAGCAGCTTCCCCCTCCACCTCAGTATCGAATTCAGGAAGCTCTTCATCCCCTGCTTCTCTCAGCAATTCAGGGAAGTCAACACTTTCCGTTATGTCCTCAAACACCAAATTTTCGTATCCATACCAACTCCAGGCCCCGTGATCTGGTACAATAAAGTCAAAAACTTCCCATGTCTCTGCCCAGCGTCGTAACGATTCCGGGTCTGCTTCCACAGACTTTGGGAGTAAAAACGTACACTTGTTTGGGTCTCCCTCCGCTTGCGGGGGACTGAAAGGAATGTCACCACCTAACTGTTCATACAATGCAAAAAATCTTTCAAGAAGCTCGAGGTACTCGGTAAGGTATAGTGTAATGCTCTCGTCACTTCGAATCTCATTCGCAACTCCTTCTGCATCCTCCCGAACATCGGACCAATAGTCTTTGTTTTTCATTTCGAGAAGTGTTGCCACTTTGCATTTTGATACATATTTGCGAATTGTTGACATTTTTATTCCGATCTTGTTTACTATACTAACCGGATGTGAAGCCCACTTCCCATGCAAGTCTAATAACATATCCTCTTCGAACAATCCGGGACAGTCTTGCTCGAGCTCGGCCTTCCGAGCTGTAACTTCCGGTTCTATAACGTCCTTGAATGCTGCAGTGAGATGGACGAACTTGCCCCAGATAAAGAGCACACTCTGGGCGTTTTCCTGATTGATGTCCGACACCTGTTTAACGGTGTAGGTCGTATCGTACTGTCCATACACAGACAGACGATTTCGAGCTTGTTCTAGCGTCTCTTCCGGAGCAGATTCATCATTTGTTGAGTCTGGTGTTTCCTGTTGTTGCAGATTTCGTTGTTGCTGTTCCTCCTCTTGGTGTTCCTGGTCTTGTTGTTGATTTATTGCTGCTTGCTGTTCGTTTAGCTTTTTGTTTAGATCTTCTTGTTTTTGTTGTTGTTCCAGCAAATCTCTTTGTTCCTGTTGCTGTGCAGCATCATGCTGTTGTTGTTGTTGTTGTTCCTGTTGCTGTGCAGCATCATGTTGTTGTTGTTGTTGCTGCTGCTGCTGTTGTTGTTGTTGTTGTTGTTGTTGCTGCTGTTGCTGTTGTTGTTGTTGCTGTTGCTGTTGCTGTTGTTGCTGTTGCTGTTGCTGCTGCTGCTGTTGTTGTTGTCTTTGTTTGGCGTAGTTGTCATTGTTATTATGTATGTTTGGTGAAATTGCTCTCACCTCAGAACTACTGCCACAGCCCATGATTGAAATCCTTTTTTTATCTGAAAAGAAAACAGTTGAATTAGTTAACGTTCACAGACACACAGACAGTGTTTGAAATTCTAAGTGACCCGTACGATTCGTTTATTAGTCAGAAATCGTTAAGTACTAATTAGTATATCAGCATAGCAAAACGATTAACGTACTTGTTTCATACAAATCTTTCAATCGTTGTACAGTACATCTAAGATAAGACAATGTCAAATGACGTGCCCCCAATCATTACAGTATCTGTATACATGGAAGGATGTTGTTGCACAAATATTGGAGGACAAGTTATGAAATGATATAGCATACGAATTGGATTGTTGACCGAGTATTCAATTTTTTGTCATCAAATTACAAATTACATTTCGACGCTGTACAGTAATACATTAGAGTGGTAATTTCATGAAAGGACGATGATATTAAAAAAACCCTTTAACCACTACATCTAAGAAGTAGTAATAGTTCAAAGTGACACTATCACAAATGTGGCCACCGTTTGCGCGATTCGCGGCCATGTCTTCAGTGAAGAGAGGCAGAATCTATATATAGTAAAATCTGTATTAGGTGGAAGGTAAGTCGTGATCGCTACACAGAAAGTTACTATTTACAGAATGCTAATACAGGTATATAAATTTTAAAGTGAAAAAGAAATGCACTCTCCGGCGAAAAGATTGCTTAAAAACGAGTGGTATACTTGAACGTAGAGCTTAAATTACGCTTTAAGTCCTGAACAAACACCTTTTTTTATCAAGGTAAATCCACCAGCGATATTTAAATATGTTTAGAATTTAATAAAACCATTAAAGGACAACAAAAAATCTTTTTATTGGAAAGTTGCCAGTGGAAGTTCTCATTAGCAGTTCGCATTACTCCGAAGGCCGTCATGTATAGAGCAGATCGATATGTACGTTATTAACAGGAGAGGAATAAGTACCAGGAACTGAAATCATAATATACCACATTTAGAAATATGCCTCAGAGTTTGGAGTTTCTAGCACAACCTGATAATCCATCGGTTAGACTGGTCCGGCAGTTGTTGATAGTTTTCGATCCAGCAACAAAAATCTGAATTTTGAAATATCCACAGAAACTAAAATAGTGTTTTCGCACACTAGAATCCTTTTGGTAAGTGTTATTGGCAAGTTGATACCAAGAAATGACAGACAGCTCAGACCTATGATACTGTAGTCAGCGAAATGAAATTAACTGCATTGTTGTCAAAGTTTAACACAGGTGTATGAAATAACGAGACGTCGCTGTAATCCGCAGTAATCCATTCTATATCGTTTGGGTAGTGTTATACGTAATACGAAATATAGGCCTATATACGAGGTTGTAATCCGTGGTGGAGAGAATAACGATTAACAATGAGCTCGAGAGAATGAATTGTCAAGTCCGTGATACCATGCAGTGACAATGTTATGGGTGGGTGACGTTCACGTCTTAGCCCAATGAATAGTTCGGTAACAATCGCCTTACCTGTTATCCCAGTAAGTCATACTAGTCTAAAGATTGTGAGAGTAGAGTTTCTCAGACACGAACTACCTAACTTCAAGACATGGTTAGGTTTTATAGAATGACAATATATACCTACCGTCCGTTCATCAGCAGCACGTCCGAGTCATAACAGACCGCCTGACAGCACCAGATATCATCAAACCTGTTGGGATTCGCTCTTAGATACTCTGCTATTTGTTCCGTTACCGGTATTGACTTCGCACAGGGACCTTTTCTGGAAATCGTGTAATCGATGTTAGTTTTTAAATGACGTGTATTGTCCAACACTCCAAGCTTGGCTGTATGGATGTTTGTTTACCCGTTACTAAGTGAGCTCCGACCATTTGTAGACAAAGAGTGGTCGATTGCTATCCAAAGACTTTCTGCTATAACATTTTGTAATTCTCTGTCTACTTTAGATTTGAACTTGATTTAAATAATTCTATAATGAACTCGTTTAAACATGAAAAATAATACACATATTACACATAGATAATGGGGCTTAGGTGATCCGACAGAACCGTTTGAAGTAAAATTGAGAGCAATATTATCATCTGTTGGTACGCCTATTATGCAGCAAAAATTAAAATTTTTATTGGGAGATGTATATTACATTAAAGCGTTCCAATAAAGCTAATGACATTTCTTGGTATGTCGATCATGAGCAAGACAATCGAGGTAACAACAGGTCGGTAGAACCGAACCATTTCCTTTCCCAATACTCACCATTTAGATACTAATTGCTTTTTCATGTGGTGGTGTCGCGTCTGTCGTCAGTCCGTTGTCAACGTTTTTTTCCTTCTGTCGACTCCTTCTCAATATCTGGCCATTATCATGCAGGAATGAAATGATTGACCTTGGCCTTCTTTCAATATATCACAGGGATCAAATGTGTTCACATCTTCAAACCACCAAAAGGTCTAGGATGCTGATATTTGGCCTGTAGCATGCTATGATAAAGGGTTAACAAGTTGCTTCAAATTACTTATTCTTAATTACTTCTTTCAAGGCCACAGGGGTCAAATGAGTTAAAAGCTTCAAACTTATCTTCTTCTTAACAACCAGAAAGCCCAGGGTGCTCATATTGGGGTTGTAGCCTCCTGGAATGAATGTCTAAGTGTTGATAAAATGTGCATGTTATGTAAAATATTAATGAAAATCTAATCAAATGATAGTCACCGTAAAGAATACATTCATGGCATGATTGTGACAAAAAATCATGTTTCCATCGCGCCATTTGGCTGTTTTATGGAAGAAACAATCTCAAAAATGCCATTTTCGATGATAACATTTTAGATACAAAAACTGTGTTTTTTAGAGAATACACCATTTTATGGGCGTTGGATGCAAACCAATTTTTATCCTATTAAATAGTACGTAATATGCTATTGATGAGAGGAAAAATCATCAAAATGTAAGTGGTGGAACATTTTCAAATGTTGGGTTGAATTAGCCTATGGTTGAATTGCCGATTTTCGACTTTCTTTAGATAATTAACAAAAAAACGAGAGTATTTGCTCGGTATGTTGAGAATATGTACACAGATATGAAAAAAAGTGAGAGAAACACTTTTTCATAAAAAAAATCCAAGATGGCTACTTCGCAAGTCCCCGTGGTTGAAGACATTGGCTGACAAATAGACAGAACAACAAACAAAACGTGTTCCTTATGATTTTGGTTGGTTTTCTCATTTACGAGATTGTTCATAGCTACCGGCGATTGTATAATACCTATATTTATAAGTTTGGTTAGTCACATGGTAACGGGGATCTTTCATATCGAGCCCCAAACATACTTTCGACATATGCACTCTGTTGCCGCATGGAAAACTATTTCAAGTTTTGTCGGAATTTCTTTACCTGTGGTTGTAATGGTCGAGGGTTTTCCAGCGTCCTGTAATACACAAGGTAGTACAAGATACTGGAGATGTACGCACACATTCTCATCGTTCTCTCTCCAACTGGGCACTGGCAGTAGTAGTCCTTTATTGGGGCCTCAACATCGGGTGAAACGGTGAACCGTATCCAAACGTTATATTTCGTTTGGCTTTTGTGTCGAGAATGTATTTGACATCGGAGAAGGTCTGGGGAGTGCTGGTAAAGCCACACCTCATAGTCGCCGTCATCACTTAAATGTTCGGCGATGTAACCAGGAGCCAGAGATATCTGATACGTTCCACACGTAATGGTTCTCAAGTAATCAAGATCGAGACGGGGAAACAGTGCTTTTTTTTACACATCATAAAACTGTCATGAAAATATCCGCTCTGATATTCAATATAAAAGTTTGTATATAATAAGCTATATAATAGGGTTTTAGACAAGGTTGTTACTAATTTCCCCTTTTCTTTCAATTTACAACCACATTCAGGCGGCGATATGAGAACGTTCCACCACATGGAATTAGCTGATTTTTGGTACACATATGAAACAAGTAAAGCTCTATCCGATTTTCTGATGGAAATTTGCATCCAAAACTATATAACGGGAGAAAATTGCAAATTTATGGCATTTTTCTTCATAATTGTGTCTCTGCAAGTGCATTTTCATCCGAGAATATTCTTTTTAATGTTTTATGAATAAACACGATGTTTTGGAAATATATATCAAAAGAAATTTATACTATGTTGCGAATTACAATTTCGAGATAACCTTCTTTTATTTACGAACTTATGTCTTTGATGCTGAAATTGACAACTTTATAAAAATACATTTTCACTGAAATTATGAAAGCTGGGTGTCGGAAAGGTGTAAAATTATTTGTCGGAAAAGAAAAAAAACAGTAGTTGAGCTAGATAAGAAATTATACGGGGGCAGGCTCCTATGGAGAATTAACATTACTGGAAACAGGCCCTTTGTTAAAATGACGTTGACCAAATTTCTAAGTCACAGGGGATCAAATATGACTATTATTTTTAAATGGTTTCTTCTCATTCTGATCACACAGAGTTACTGTCTTTCGTTTCAATATGTAAGCAAAATCCGACCCTAAAGAAATTTGGAACTATATCAATTTGAAATTAAAAAACTATATCAGACATTGCAGATTTATATTTAGACCAAATTGACAAAATTCAGTCAAAATAACAACGGGTGAGGGAAAGGCATTTAAGTTACTTTGTGTTTTTCAGTATCAAATATATGCCTTCAAAAACGCCATGGACACCTTTGTCTTTGTGACCCCGAGCCAAAATGCAAGTTATATTTTAAGACAATGACCATCCTGCAATATTGATTGAAAATCAAACAACCAAATCTTCAACAGTTTTCTTGTTCAATCTTTGTTTACCTGACGTTGACGTTACGCTGAATTTAGCCTGAGGACGCACGCCAAACAAATGACGTTGCATGATAAATGTATATATATATGTGTGTGATTTTGGCGTCTGGTATAGAAGACATTAACTATCCCTGCTCCAGAAACAGACATTTATCTCAAGACCGCAATAAACTCGTTATTTTCTTGTGCCTCCTCCTCACAAGGTTATCACAAACTCAAATTTGTTTTTAAAATCCTTAACAATTACTAAAGATACATAATAGTTGAAAATTATTTTCCTTTGTCCGACGGCTCTTCAAAGGTTATCAATAAATCCCAACATAAAATGGCCTTACCAAAACAAGAGTTACCTCCCTTGCACTGTCCTCCTACTTCAGAGTGGAGACCAGTAAAAATGACTCGACTCTACCGACTCGAAACTCAACTAGCCTACAACATGCTTTTATACTGAATGTCGCGTGCCTCAATGGTAACGGAAAACAACAAATAAATCTGGCATTGTGATGTCATAAATTGATACAAAAATCTTCCTTACTTCGGGAAGAATACCGATGTTCGTCGACTCCAGGCCGATATAAAAGTCGATAAAACGTCAGAATAATTCGGAATATATCTTTGGATCGAAGCAGATGATCGTCATAGATATTGAAGAAATTTATCATAATGACATACTAAAATGTGTCATCGAAAATGTGAATGGGGAGTACGTTAATGGTAATCTTTATGACATATTCTGATGTACTTCCTGTAAGTTTGAACAGAGACGTCTCTGGTTTGAAGGTAGGCCTATTGCCAGGATATCAATAAAACGGTAACCGTTGGTGATATTCTCAATCCAGGGACACATTTCAGTTAATAATATCACAATGAAATGAAATCATGTCACATGGTATTGTCTCCAACCTTAATTGGATAATTATATCGAGAACGATACAGAAAGTCCGATCTTCATTTGAACGAAACGCATTAGCAACTTCGGAAGAGTTTCCGGTCATGATCTCTTGTCGACAACTCTCCCAGATGCCCGCTGTTTTATCGCCCTACTTTAGTGAAAAATACCATTACCATTCAGAGATAGAGATGACAAATTTAGGGTAGGTACACAAAGAATTAAGACAGATAATCCACATAGACCAACATTTTAAGCTTTTTCATATGCCTCGACCTACATCATAACCCGATGCTGCCGACAACTTGACCGGAAAGTGAGCAGGCCTTTCACGTCATCAATGGTTGAAAGGAGCGTTTTGATTGGCTAAGACAATAATATCAGGGACTTTTTTTTTTTTTCTACAAAATTCTGCATGTCATAGTTATTGCAGAGTTTCGTTGATATAGGATTGAGACATTTAATAATTTAAAGAGAGCTTCAGTAAAGATCTCGATAACAATCCTGACTAAAGGTCAATGATGTGTATCCAATGTTACAATCCCACATGAAGTTCGATGACATGTCTCCTATGATAACAAACCTGACTAGAGATCAATGATGTGTATCCAATGTTACCATCCCACCTGAAGTTAGATGACATGTCTTTTGTGGTATCAATCTAAACTGAATGTCTGTGAGATTATTCCTATGGTAACCATCCCCATGAAATGTCAATTATATGTCTCCAAGGGTATCAGTTCTAACCAAATGTTACTAATATGTCTTAATATTACAGTCCCAACGGAGGTCACATATTTGTAACTTTGTTGGAAAGAATGTTTATAATACAAACTTTACGGCTGTAGTTAATATTTGTACCTTGTAAATATAACTTCTTTGTGGAGACTTTGCCTGCCTCAAGACAACACATTGATACTTGAACAGGTTCCATACTATGGGCACCTTTTTAATGTTCTGCTCATGCGACCTGTAGTGTTAGTGTTGTATGTCCACATTTTATGCTTGAGTACTGAGCCTTTTTTTGCCTTGCTTCATCACTGTAACTCTCTCTTTCTGAGAAGCACAAAGAACAGAGATAAAAACACAATTGTTTTAAGTGTTTTATTGGTAATAAATAGTGGACAAATTTACCACATTGAATGGATGAGCATTTTTATATAACTGGTAGGGTCTAGTTTGCATACCTGTATAGCCTTTTTTTGCCTTGCTTCATCACTGTAACTCTCTCTTTCTGAGAAGCACAAATAACAGAGATAAAAACACAATTGTTTTAAGTGTTTTATTGGTAATAAATAGTGGACGGATTTACCACATTGAATGGATGAGCATTTTTATATAACTGGTAGGGTCTAGTTTGCATACCTGTATATTATGGTTTGACAAGATCACAACACTGGAGTGATGTTGAGATATAGAACTGGTCTCAGTTTTGGATCACCCAAGTATTTAGCACTCATAAAAGCTGTTCAGCGACAAGTGTGAGAAGTATGCAGTCAAATTTCACCAATCCACCTGGATCCATGTTTTAATCCTACATCAGTTGTGTAGATCAGATGAGCACTGTGTTGACCTCTTGTACATTTCAAAACACCTGTCTACCCACCTGTTGTACGACAATTTAGTGTCTTATGAAGGTCATCACAGATGATATTGATAATTATCATTGCTGAAATGCGAAAATGAACTATTTTCACCTTTGACTTAATATAACAATATATATGTACATATGTATATATATATATGTCTTGGTGTTTGTCTGCTATTGCATGGACTGTGGTTTTAGAAACAACTTTGAATCAATTTCCCTGCATTTTACAATGAAGACAAGTTGTTTGACCAACAGACAAGATAGGGATGGCGTGGCAGAGCTTTGATCAAGTGTAAGCAACTCTTTCTGAAGACACCATGCTGATCAGCGTCATCAAATCACTTGTACTTCCTTTGCCTTATAATTTGACAAACAAGTTCCCATGGTAATAATAACACTGATCAAAGTTGTGTTAGCTCTTGCCCTTTTTCAGAGTAGAGGCTACTGTCTGTTTAAGATTCTGTACACATGCAGCAAGATGGTTGTCAATGTCATGTAGTCCTTTGTCCTGTTTCTCAAGTGCGATCTTCAGATTGCCATTCTGTCTGGAGTCCTGGTTTACTTCCATCACTGCAACAATCAACTAACAAATCACTTTATATTCTCTCAAGTCATTTTGTCTTTGTAATCTTAAAATATTACCTCCTAAACTTCTATTTTTTAGAGGGGGAGGGGAGGGGGGTGGCTATTGCCTGGTGATATGTTTTAGTTTCCAAATATTGTTTGATCCTATCCAACAATTTTCATTTATTGATGTTAAGGACATACTAGATACTGACCTTGTTGTCTCATGTCCTTGACCTGTTGCTGAACACCTCTCACATCCTTGAAGAAAACTTTGAGTGCCTTTGCAAGGTCTACATCCAACCCTATAGACTTGTTGGCAACTTCTGTGACAGGACGCTTTTTATCCATCTCTACTATGCTGCCTGTACCAAAACAGTATCCAGAATGCACTACTTAATGTTTCTTAAAATCAATCACAATATGTTACATCAAGACTCTTTTACAAGGAATCTTTATCAATCAGACATTGTGTAATCTTTATAGTTAAATATCTACTGTTAATGGATACTGACCTCGTCTTGGCTTAGCCTTGCTAATTTCCAATGCTTGCTTCTGTGTGTCTATAGTTTTCTTAAGTTTGAAATTTTCCTTTTTCAAATCATCACATTCCATCTTCATGAACTCCATCTTAACAAAGCAAAAGATTAATATTAATCAATGTTGACATATTGGCTATGCTTGATAAGCTTCTGTATATGTATGTTTTAGCACCTTTCACGTAAATGATTGATATATACTTGGTGATATAGTATCATATTCTTGGTATGTTGCTATATGAATTTTATGAAACAAGGGCTGTCAGAGATGGGTTATGCTCACCGCATTCATCAAAATTTCAGTATGAAAAATAAATAGCAATAAGCGAGTTATGATTCTTGTGCACTGCCCTCCTTCTCATTGATATCTATCTACCTATGAAGTTAGTGTAATGCTCCAGACAAAAATTAAGTATGAAAAATAACAAAGGGCAATAACTCCTAAATCATGCAATAGAAAGTGATGGTTCTAGTGCACTACACTTTTCCTTGTTGTGATCTGTCAACCTATGAAACAGCGATTATATGCTCTCCCTTTCAGGGAGCATAAATTGTACTTGTGGGATTTTGTATGCTTGTTATTAGCTATTGTCATATATTGGAATGTCAACTTTGATTAAGTTTCCTTAGACCACAGTTATATAACATTACAATCTGCATTTGATTTGAATCTGCATTGAATCTTAGAAAAAAATTTAACTAGGAAGAAATTTGAAGTCAATTTATTATTAATGAAAATTAATTAATTGATGAAGAAAAAAAATGTGTTAAATTAAACTGTACATGTATGCAATGATTGGTTTACAAGGTTATATATAGGATAAATGGCCAGACATTTGAAGTAATTAGTAGAGTTATGTTGTCAGTTGTGCTAAGGTGCTCACCTGGTGCATCATCTTCAACATCTCATTATCTACCTCTGCCTGCAGGAAGGGAGGTAAACCAGTTAGTAAGGAAAGCACACATTTGTTGGACACAAAATCACAAAAATATTTCAATCGAAACTGATCACTTTTATTGAGTGGTATTTGTAACAGGTCTGTTGTAATTGGAATGAAATTTTGTGGAACCATAAGGAGAAAACCGTTACTTTTAGCATGTATCTAATTTCAGTAATTTAAAATTGTACACTTCTCTGTCTTCTTAAATTTCAATTGATCATGTATACAGAAAAACTCAAGTTGACAGTTAAATTATTCCAATTTTAGTTAAAAAATAAGTCCTCCTTCTTCCTAAAGACATATTTGTACCAATAATTATAAATGTCATTTTCATCATTTATTCTAGCTAAGAAATAAGCTAACTCGACATAATTGAAAGAATCTTCACTTCAAATAGAAAGATTCAGTTTTGAAATATTTGAAATGTAATTGATAAAAAAGTGCTTTCTCGAACCTAATAAATCCATTATTTCTTATTACATTATCCCCATATCTCAAATTATTCATGTTAAATTTTACATGACATTTACGTGGAGTAGTTCTTCTTACTGTTAACTTTATCAATTATCTCACTATCTGACAAAATTTACTTTTTGTTTAGGTGTAATGAGAAAGACAGGTGTAATGAGAAAGACAGGTGTAATGCCAAAGACAGGTGTAAACATAGGCATCAGAGATATATTTAACTTTTTAGAAAATTCATGTGAAGCAAATCCAAATAGAAAAATGTTAATATCTAATAATGGCACACAGACTTACGTTTCCATCGGTGTGACCATTGGTCTGGGCTGTGACTCCTTCCACTGAAGCAAAACATAGAAAACTTGTGACGTTATATGTTTACGATTACCTAGTATGTTGTCTCAGCTGTAACTGTTGTTTTAAATTCTTCTATACTAGTTCACTTATTTTGAAGAAGTGAGCTGATTCAATTTGGGGAGCGATGAAGAAAATTGAACACCTAGGCACATCTTCTTGAAGAGAAGTTCTTGTATCACAATCAGTTGTAAAATTATGTGTGACATATTCATAACTACACTGTCAGCACATCAGACAAATGACCAGTTTCACTGAGGTATATAAGATGGTAATAGGACAAGTAAAACCTTTCGTACATGGAGTCAGATAATAATGAAACATGAAGACAATAAGATTATGTATTGTAATAAAAACATGCCAAATTAGTGATCTGCTTTATATACATTAGGTGTAAAAGCTGATTAACTTTGTTTAAAGCTAATTTTGGCAGGACAAATTGCATGTTTTTGTCTTTTCTTCCTCTTAAGTAGTAGTTTTATTTACCAAACTTATCCTTCAATAGGCTCAGAGTGTCATATAAAATCTGTGTTTTAAAGTTAGAGGTGGGCTTATTACAGGACAAATAAAAAACATTTGTTAGTAATCTTACTTAACAGCACTTTGAGTTAGCTTATTACCAGATATAAATACATACCAGAATTAATTTGTAATATTTTGTAACTTTTTATACAATTCATCTATAATTTTTTAACTTGTACTCACAGCCAGTGCACAAAGGAAAACAATGAATATATGACTATCAACGAAACTGACAAATGCTCCCTGAAAAGGAGTTCATTAAACACAAAATTTAAACAAAGAAGTCTGTAAAAGGGTTTCAGGCACTGAATTTGATACACTGTACATCATCTTAGTATGACAAATGTATCCACCATTGTTATCCTAGTTTTAATGCAAGCAAAGTTACTGCTCACGACACAAAATTTTAATCAAAGGCAATGACTGATATTAAGGGGTTGAAGACCTTGAATTTGATGCACCTTTTCTTATTGTAACCAATATATAAATCATGCTCCATGTTCCTAGTTTATATACAGGCCAAGTTAAGCTGCAGACACAAGCTTTTAACAAAGCAATTTCTCTGTAATTTGAAGGGTTGCAGGCCCAAACATTTGTGCCCTACACATCATTTTTGTATGATCAATGTATACACCTAGTATCATTATCTTCGCTTAAATGAAACTAAAGTTATGCTCTGGACAAGAAATTTTAATAAAGGGTAAAAACTGGGTTGTAGGCCCTGAATTTGGTACACCGCACATTGCTTAGTATGACCATTGTATACACTAGATTTCATGATCCTTGTTCAACTGTGGGCAAAGTTATGCTCCCGACATGAGAATAGACAGGAAGATGGACAGACGGAAAAAGCGGTGAATATATGCTCTCCCAGAAAAAAAAAAAAAAAATATAAAATGTTGTGCATATATGAAACATCAACACACATATTGAAGCTTTAAGTGTCACCACTTAATACTGTATATTCCAGGGTATTATATTCACAATATATACAGGTTATTGAATACCTTTTGCCAGATTACAGTGTCCATGTGTTCATTCTATATCTTTAGTTTGTTTTCCTTGTGTATGTAGATCATCAGCTAATTAATTTCATAGTACAATGTTTGTGATAGATTGCAATTATGTACACCCAAAACTTTAATATACCCAAGAAAGCCCCACTCACGTGCCTTGCTGGAGACAGAAAATTATTGCAATTCATTGTCTGTCACCTCCAGCAAAGCTTTAGATACAATAATAAATTAATTGGAATAGTCTTTGCTGATCTTCATATTAAGAAAATTTGTCAGTGGTAGCTTACAGATTCATGATCAGGACAGAAAGACACATGGTAATAAAGGGCTATAACTCTGTATAATGCTTGATCTGAAACATTTTATATATGTAGACGACAGAGTTTGCTTCATAGTCTCCCATATCTCAGATAATCTTGGGGAATATGAAGCATGTAAGCTTGAATGGTTGTATATTTGTCACTATGAATATGGTCTTGGTTACAGATAAATAAAATGTACACTGTATAAAATCTGACCAATGTTCAATATTCACTTTTCAGATATTGTCTAAAAAGTATCAACAGGTTTAATCAAATTATAACTTTATTCAGCCCTGTATGTTTATTCACTTGAAGAACTTCCTCAAAAAATTATCATCAACTGAATGCTTAACATAAAGCTATGTGTTATTCAATGTGATGTGCAAAGCGTTGCTGTAACATTGGTCAAGAAGGTGCCAAAATGTTCTTAAAAGCCCTGATATACCATAGTAAAATCACCAAAGAACAAATCACCATGTTTAAATTATGTGAAAATGATTTTTGCAACCACACTGAACGCTTTTCAGGTAATTGCAAAATTTCTAATCAACAAAAGAGCTTGAGGCAATACTCTTAGCTAAAGATAGAACTGATGTATAAAAAGCATTATTACAGACGTAACCCACAGTAAATGTTGCCTGATTCATAAGCATGGTTATTCTACATACACAGCACCTCATACATACCCTTAGCACCACCTGTTATTGTCAAGTAAAACTTCAATCATTTCATTTTGATCAAAACTTATAAGTTCAGCTATAAATAAGTATACCTGGAGATATCCCTTCTACCCATACAGTATCCGTTAATAGGAACTCATCTTTTTGAGGGGAAACAAATTTCCCATTTATACCTGTTACATTGAAATGAATGGTACAGGACAGACAGACAGATAAACAGGGGTTACACTATATGCCTCCCCTCCCTAATTGGTGGGGGCATTGAAATCCTGTTGGTGTACAAGGCAGACTTTTTATTTAATCCCCTGTATGTTTTCCCTGTTGAGTGCTACGCATACCAGGGTTCGAAATTAACTATATACAACTAGCAAAATGCCAGCTAAAATCTGGTAATTGCTAGCTGGAAAATAATGAACTAGCAAAATTTTGCGAGTGGAAATGAACTATACCTAATCACTATTTTTTGACGAAACATCTGCCACAAAATGCCTTTCTCCATCTGCCTTTAAATGAGTAAATAGGTTACAAACACTGAAGTGACATAGATAATCAATACATTCGGAATTCCTCCAGTTTTTCCCTTGATAGTTATGTGTAAACCGAATAAAAAGTTGTCTTGGAAAACTCTACGATTTCTGTCTGCTCATCATGTGAAACGCGACATATCAGCTATGATAACAAACTTTTTCAAAAGGAAAGCATCTGACAGTGCTTGCGATGACCAAGACAATAGTCAACAGCCACAGCCTGGCCCTTCTGAAAAAAAATTGTCGAAATTGGAGAGTGTTTCTCCTGACGCTGCTGATATAAAATCACCGTGACAACAACGTGCATATACGGCCATGTTAAAAACGGTACGGAAATGAGAATATAACAGTAAATAAAAGTCAAACCTATTCACCAAAAAATTGCTAGTTTGTTCATCATTTTTGCTAGTGGAAATTTTAGGCACTAGCAATGGTTTGCTAGTGCCTAAAACAGTTAATTTCGACCCCTGCATACAGATAAATCTACATGTGGGTCTCGAGCCCTGTACTCATCTTGATGGGACTTGTAGAATTTCTGAAATACCTAATTTTACATTGTAGCCCCTCCCCCCCCCTGCCCCGCCTCAAGCAACAAACTCCACCCCCTACTCCATGAATTGTAATCTTTCCAAATGAATTGCTTTCAAACATTAACAGAAAATTCCATCTAAAATTAGAATTACTCCATTTCTTAGAACATTTAATGAGGAAAGACAAGGTCACCTTGTTTGCCCCAGAGCTCCAGCACCAGAGAATGTGTACCGAGATAATTAAGAAAATCCTGTGTGAATTTCCTGTAAACAAAGTCTTTCCTGTAGTCCACTTCTGCTGAGCTCTTACTCCACAGCGTGTCAGTGTGTAAAACTTTGCTTTCGAAGAACTTGTACCTGTTAAACAGATAATCATTCAAGTTTTGTGATCTGACCCTTGATTAACATTTATTATTTTAAAGAATGCTCCTTTAACAATAAAATAAAAATTGAAGGGTTCCATTTACCTCATATTAATCAATATTATGTTTTTGTCAGAAAATAAAAGTAAAACCAAAAGTGAGTCAAGTTTAGGAATTTATGAAGTAAGGAAATATGATAGAAGAAGCTTTGTGGTACATGTAGTTTATCTTGACTAGCATTTCAAGTTGATACATGCTCTTTCTTCCTTTGGATTTGCTTTTGATGCATGCATTCTTTGCTCTGAAATACATACATGTATACATGAAAGAGAGGATTTCTGGAAATGATTCTGTCCAATTCTAATCTATGACTTGTGAGCCATGAAAATAGTCTATAAAACACAGAAATGTTCTGAACTGGTGAAACTAGCTTTGAAATTCCAAATATTGTCAACTCATTCAAGCTAAACACCTGTAAAACATTGACATAATTGAGAAACCTGTGAGACAGCAGTGTTACCTGCAGTAAACACCTCTACTTTTGTCTTCCTTATTCCAGCGAACTCCCATGTATTGGTTGAGAATGACAGACAGATGAAATGGCTGGCCCAGTAATTCTGCTGGTTCATAAATGCGGTCATCTTCACTGAGAAGCTGCCCTTTAGCATCACATGGCAACAACTGGACATGCATGACAGCCTCCTCCTTGCCATGGTAATTGTGGAGGGCGAAGTGCTCATCTACCTCCAGACCATAAGACAGACTTTGTAGAAGGATATGGCAGCTGTGAACAGACCATATTCCACTCTTATTGTTAATAAAGAAAATTGTAAAAAACAATTTTTTGTGAAACAACATCATGGACAACTTTCCTCAACAACAACCTCAATCACTTAAGGAAAATAGCATCTTTTCTGCAGATCTAATAGGTAAAAGGGATGTTTCACAAACTGTTGGAGAAAAGAGTTGTCTACCTTCCAAGAAAGATGTCCTCCACAGGGTCCCAGAAAGGGTCTTTCTCTTTGGCCACCTTGAGGGAGCCATCATCCATGAATTGGCTGTAAAGATCATCCATTAGGTCTTTTCTGTGTAGGAACTTGTCACGAGACCACATCCAAATCTGGGTACACATTTTAAAAAAATTATCTCAATGAAGTTAATTGATAGTGAAATCTTGTATTGCTTTATTATCTACTCTTTGATCAGATTTGAATCCTGGCATTATAATATGTATGCACTAATCTATCAATATTTTCCAAACAAACTTAAACTGGTTATGACAGATGTGTTTCCTACCTTCTTCGTCTTAGTATTGGTTACTTTGACAATGACCTCTCGACCTGCTGCTTTACCCAAAGGGTCATGACTGGCATCACTTTTGATCTCTGCATCAAAATGCACAGCCTGAAACATCCAACGAAACAAACACATTTAAGTAAGACACCCAAAACCATAAAAAAAGGTGTAAAAATGTGACATACACACAAACATATATATACTTAAACATATCAGAAACAAAAGTAATGATTTTACAGTCAGTTTAACTGGTAGAAAGATTCAACGGGATATGTAAATCACTTAAGGAAACAATTACACGGTTTAGGCTGAACAGACAAGACATTTCTCCCCTTACCTTTGACAACTCTTCACTGATGGCATTAGCTTCAGACAGAAGTGGCAGTAGTCTTACATACTCTTGGAAAACGCGTCCAGTGGATGCCTCATCCACAGCCTCATTGGCACGGGGAGTCTGCAGGTCCACTGTAACACCCTCATGTTCAGCTAGTTCCATCATAAAGTAGTCATAGTTATACTGGTCCATTTGGTCACTAGATGTACGTTCCCCAGGTGGACCAATATATAAGAACAGACAGGATGAACCGAGGCGTATACGGTCCTGTAGTTAAAGTTCACCAAGTTAGTTATCTATATATCATATGCAAAGAGTATTGGTGACTTTGGATCTTGCACTAAGGTCAAATAGATCATGTGATCTTAGAATTTAAAAGTTGACCGACCTTGAGAAATACAAGACAAATGTATGATGAAACCTATTTGTCAATGAAAGACAAAATTGCAATGACAATCTTACTTTCAGGAGCATAAGGTTATAAAGACTCTGTGATTGTAAAATTAAGGAATGGAGAAATTTTTGACCTTTGAACTCATCAAATGACAGTGACAAGAAATTTCCCTCATGCCGTGACCTTAAAATGAAACAGTTGTCAATAACTGGGGTTTTTCCTGACCCTTTTGACCTTGGAACTTACCAAATGATGGAGACAAGTCTTTTCTCTGACCCTGTGACCAGACACAAACATCAGTGCTGATCTCTCTGCAGGTTCAATATACACCTTTGTGCCAGTGTGATGAATGATTGCATGCCTTGACTGTATCCTACATAAATAATAGTAGGTAATATGTCAATAATGCAGGAAATTCAAGATCACATAAAAGCTAGAAACCTTTTCAATAAATATTACCATTTAAACACATTTGACATTCATTGTCTTTTAGAAATTATCATTTTGACAAATTCTGATATGTAATGGTAAATATTTGCTTCATTTCTTCAAGTCATAAGACAGATCTACCCAGAATTAAACATATCATATCCCTCACAAAGGGATTGACAATATTTTTTTCTCTCTATACAAATATACATTTGCAATCTTTGACATATAACACAAATCAAACCTTACCCAAGACCTCGGAGCTGAACATTGACATCTCCAGCTTTCGTCTTTCCTATTATAGTCTTTCCTAAATATATAAAAACCAAACATTGTAATATAACATAACCGATCTAGCAAATACCTGTAAGACATAAATGCTGCCACTCCCATGTATGTTAGTATCATTGTTTGATGAAAAGTTGTCATATTAAAACCTTTGATATTATGATACTAGTAAAACCTTGACTAATGAAGAGGTAGGTTTGATAAGTGATTTAAGAGTTGTTGATACCTTTATCAAAGCAGTGTTTGATGATTCCAGAGAGCTGAGGGTCTTCATTGACATTGGTTATGTAAGGTTTGTGTTCAAATTCCAGATTTTTCTGGTCTTCCCCACCACTTACTGATTTCTCCCATTCTTTTCTGTGAACACCAAGGACAAAAACTAAACACATGTTGTGGTTATCAAACACAAACAGCTCATAGTTAAAAGCAATACATCTGTTAGGTTGAAGACCTCTTTCTCTGACCTTGGCTGATCTATTTTACCAAATTGACCTAATAAGTACCATGGGTTGCTTAGATAATACATATTAAGCACAGAGCCTATTAAAAATTGTTCAAAAAGAGCCACCATAAACACTTCGGACAGATTCTAATGAAGAGTTGTGATGTTTGAACATAAGAAAGATTATTCCCTGAGCTAGGGGATTCCATTTCTTTTGTAATGCAGAGTTATCTGCTCTTGTGAGTAGGTATCAATTGTTACATCATTTATTTATGAGAGTAATGTTCATGAGAAAACAATGCAATTTTCTCATGAAAACTATTAATGAAACATTCAATGACTGCTCACAAGAGCAGATAACTCTGCATTACAAAATAAATTGGTATAAAGGTGGAATAGAGAATTTTTTCTCTGCTTCTATTAAGGTGTTACATATTTGTAACTCAAAAAACAGATCCACAGTAGTTGCTGATTCAGGATTTTGCTCAAATTACAATCAACAAAATTTTCTGGTCAAGTATATTCATGTAATTGATTTTCAGTAAATAGGCAATACTCAGCCATAATAGAAACTAAAGACCTTGCTTGCTCGAGACGTTGTTCCCATGACAGATTCATATCATTCATCCGACGTTCATTTTCTTCTAACATCCTCTGTAGTTCTGTTCCAAAGAAAATCAAATTGAATTACATTCATCAAAGCTGATGACATTTCAGAAACATTAAGTGATTTTTTTTAATAGATTATACATCACCTCCAAGGTCAAAGGTGAAAATCTGAAATATATTAATTTCTCAAGATTTCACAAGAATGGTAAAAGAAAATTTATTTGCAAAAGATCAGTTTTGCTAAGTATTTTAAAACTTACTTTTCATTATAAATTACCAAACTGTAGTGTACATGTGGCTACTCTCAATGCCAGAAACTGATGTAAATAAATTGTACATATTCAAGTTTTTGATGTAGAATTACTGAAAGGAAATAATTCTAGAAAATTCTTTTGTTATCAAAATGAATGTTCATCACGGGAAAAAGATTATGGCTTTATACAACAATATGACAAATAATTTCATTTTTAATTATTTTCATTAAGGGTAACATAATTCTTTTCTAGCTAAAACACATCAGAAATGTTTCATTTTGCTTAACATAAGTAGGATTGAAGTTCGTTGGAAACTTCTATTTCAGACAAGTGAGTGACAGTGAATTTAGTGAGAATAAGTAAGAGTCTGTTCTCAGAGAAGATACATGTCAGACACCAAACCACCATAAAAACCTTTTGAATTTTAACTTAATCAAATCTGAAAACCTAGATAGTTTAGAAGAAGAAAAGGTGTATCAGATATGTATGGTACGTTATTCTTGTCATTATTATAATTACAAATCATGAACTACACTTCCTGAAGAATGTACTTGTTGACAATAACACAAAAAAAAAACAACACAAATTTAAGGATTAAGATGTTAGTTTTTCACTTTTCAACTTTTTTTTATCTTAGATTTTGTAGACGAAGATTTGAGGTTCATTTTAGTTTTAATGGAAAATTGGCACAAGACAAAACAAGAATTTTCAGGGGTAAAATAACAAAAAAAACAGATCACATGCTACACAAACTATAATTCCTACCATGATCAGTACTTGTCTATACTATTTCTGTGTTATACAGCAAATATTTATCCTTGTAGGACCCACAAAGTCATTAAACTATGTGTGACTATTAGACTATTAACCTATCTTTACAAATACTATTCAAGGGGAGATAATCTTCTCTACAGAATGAGACTAGACCTCGATTGAATGGGAAATGTGACATCCCTCTCATTTTGTATTCAAAAATAAGATGACAAAAACAGCAATCAAATCAAGAGAATACTGCAAATTACATGTGATAAACCCATGTGGAAGATCGTTGAGCTCATCCATCTTTACGTATCCTGAGATTATATGGTTTCTTGAATCCATTTATATGCATAAGTGAAATACAGAAAAAACAAATCCAAGCACTTGTTGATCAAAGTTTCATCAGCTTATCAGCATTTTATTTTTTATCTTTAAATTAGATAAGATTTAATGCACATTACTGCAAATATATAAACCAAAGAAAAACAAAATAACTTCAGCTTGAAAAACGGGAACATTACTGATGGGTCCCATTTTGTTTTCAAATGATTCTCATGGATATCTGTTTGAGCTTGATATTACAAATGACATTATTTCTGTAAACATATCTGATTTGATATCTATTTTGTAAGCTAAGGAAACTTTGAACAGCAGGTCTCTGGTGGTTTTCAGTAAATGTGAGAGATGTAAGTGATGAACATGTAACAGTCTCTCCAAGTCTTCAAGTAACATACCTTTGCGACCTACAAAAAACAGGGATCTTATCAGTCTTACCCAAAGTCAGTAAAGACTTAATACAAACACATCAGTACTATAAATTCATTTGATTTAGTCTTTAAATTCAAACTGAAATTGTGAAATACTTCAAAAAAAATTAACTGGCTATAAATGTACCCTTTAGTAATATGTAAATGTGTCAATATAATGATAAGGTGGCAAGGCAATACATGCATTGCACTAATGCACTGGTATATACCTGGTAGATTGGCACCTAGGTATCAAATGAAACACTGATACCTAGATATCCACTGAAGTAAAGGTACACACCAGTAGATATCCTGTCAAATACTGGTAGTTAGATATCTACTGAAGTACTGATACCTAGATATCCATAGAAGTACTGATACCTAGATATCAATAGAAGTACTGTTACCTAGATATCCACTGAAGTACTGATACCTAGATATCCACTGAAGTACTGATACCTGGATATCCACTGAAGTACTGATACCTAGATATCCACTGAAGTACTGATACCTAGATATCCACTGAAGTACTGATACCTAGATATCCACTGAAGTACTGATACCTAGATATCCACTGAAGTACTGATACCTGGATATCCACTGAAGTACTGATACCTAGATATCCACTGAAGTACTGATACCTAGATATCCACTGAAGTACTGATACCTGGATATCCACTGAAGTACTGATACCTAGATATCCACTGAAGTACTGATACCTAGATATCCACTGAAGTACTGATACCTAGATATCCACTGAAGTACTGATACCTGGATATCCACTGAAGTACAGGTATATAGATAACAACCAAAGTACTGGTACATTTATATCAATGGAAATAAAGGTACATATGGGTAGATATCCATTCAAGTATCTGCACCAAGATATCTATTCAAATACGGGTACCTAGACATAGACTAAAGTACTTGTGCCTTTTTTCCACTTAAGTTCTGGTACCTAGATATCCCCTTAATTACTGGTATATAGATATCTATGGCCACACTTACACTTAAGTACTTGGCATCAATTTAGGTACTGGTACAATCCAAACTTGTTTCTTAACATTGACATGCATGACAGATTAACAAACCACAACAATAGATTTGTTTCAGGTAATACACAGTCAAGTCATAACTAGGATGATAGCATGCTGTAGATGTAATATACCTTATGAACATACACAGAAGAAGGATTGTTACATCTTATAAACTGCCTTATCCTGTAATTCTGTCAGATACTTAGAAAACTTTAGTTTACAGTTACACAACATCTGATAGGTATCAGGTACACGGTCTACAATGATCAATGTCAATAGTCATGCAGAAGAAAACCAATTATCACCAGCTTTTTCAATATCTGCATACTTTCCCTCGTGACTCAGGGTAACTTGTAAGTAACATACATCAGACATGTATTTGAAATTAAGCATAGCAAAAGCATATCATTTATCTTAACTTAATAATCAGTTACATCATATAATCTTCAAACGATGATACTAATTTTTTTCAGCTACAGCCCTAAAAAGATTCAAATTTGAAAAGAATGTATATCAATATTAATCAAATTATACAAGCCCCTACTTATTTTTGGACAAAATTGACCTCTTTGATAATCATATGTATATTTGCAATATTTTTCCCGTTTAAAAGTGTTCACACTGAGATCTACCTTCTGAGGAGTCTGGTCCACCTGGACCACCTTTAGACAACATGGATAAGAGCCTCGCATTCTCCTCCTTCAGCTCACGGATCAGTCGCTCTGTGGGGCTCTCGTTCACCACAGCCTTATTTTGGATTCTTTTGGCCCTACATCAGTACAAGTCTAACATCAATGAAATACTACCATACCATATGTAGAAAGTCAACCTCTACAAAAACCTGTAACAAACTATGTATATTGAACAGCCAAACTGAGGGAAGAGGCATAATTGGCCCATTGCCGATTCCGCCCCTTTTGAAAATATTAACCAATGAAAAAAATAATTCCATTTAGCCCGAGACTGCGGCATCACATAACTCTCTACAAAAATTCAGTGGATAGGCCATAGCTTTTGTAGCTGTTAACGGAACTGGACTTAAATATTGCAGCATAGCATGAAGAAAACTTGAATGATAATCTTAAAACATGGACTAGCAGATAGCTATCAAAGACTTGATATAACAAAGGCCAGAATGTTGATTATTACACATACAAATTACAAATTTGTGTGGAGACCAGAAGGACACTTAGAGAGAAAACCATGAACACAATATTATGGGTAGAAATGTTATTTTCAGGATATTTTTATTATACTAAATAACCTTAACAGTGAACAGATAAGCTTAAAACAACCTATAAATAAATATCAGCTCTGACAATTCTATTACTTTGATTAATATATGCACTCATCTTACTTTTTATTACAAAGCAGTGATCAACAAGGGAGGTAATTCAGGCAACCCTAGATACATGATAAATCCTTACACACTTCTTCCCCTAGCAGCATCAACTCTGCCACACCATCAGATTACTTAATCATTTTCCATATAGGAACACTTCTGTAGGTTCATGACTTTGATCAATACATACTGTTCTGATGACCAGAAAAATTACAGGTAACTCAATCGGATCTCTCTCAAAATATTTGTCTATTTTTGTTCCACACAATCTGAAGGAAATGTTTCACACATTGTTGGGAATCAAGCCTTCAGGTTCCCATTGGTATATATAGATGAAAATCACAAAAAGTTGAATGGACTAGAGTGTTTTTTAGGTGTCATAACTTTTTACTCATAAATAAATTTATTTCTTGACTATTGCATGACATCACTGTGTGTTATAATGTCTTTTGAAATGGCAGAAAAATGAAAAATCTATGGACTACTATACAAAATAAAGGGTTGAGTCACACATTGATTTCTGAATTGAACTGAAGGACATTAATACAAACCAAATCATTATAAATAGGATATGGTATTTGTACAACTGCATCGATCAACTTTTGATCAATGATAAGTATTTCAATGTAATTTTGATGGTGAGATAACAGTATTGATCTTCCTTGCTACAAAGGTACAATTATATCTTTGGATACCTTTAGGGTTTTATGAGCTATAAAATACACACCTGTCTGCATATCTGAGAGTGGAAAGCGTCTCATCATAGTTTATAGCTGCTGGGCTGAGAGCTGCTATCTGTAACACAGACACAAGTACACACTCTAAAAATGCTATGAAAATTGTGAAGTGTTATTTTTTCCTGACTAGTAGTGTTAATTGAATTTTTTGAACAATATGTGTTCCTACTTTGATAAAAATGAAAACAAATTCTAACCAAAGAAATGGAAATAAATGGAATGTATTATCAAATAAGTGAAGCAGAAAATATAGGTCACAGTGACCTAGTCACATGAAAATGTAGTATTCATGGAGATGCAAAAGTTTGATTATGACTGTTGGAATTGTAGTACATGAATACGTATCTGAGACAAAACATCCAATGTTTCTTAATGATAGAAGCATTATCAACAGTGCTGAGCTCAATGTTCTAGGCAAAGTTTAGTTAAAGTTAAGTCAGCAAAACTGAAAATACAAGTCACAGAAATGTACATGTCACATAATAAAGTAACAGTCTAATGTAACCTTGTAAAACAGAAAATGCAAGTTTTCACAGGTTCCAATGTCATGACCATGCATAATGGTGTTGGATTCATTAAAATGATTAAGCGCTGTGACTACAGGACTGAAAACTGTAGCAATTAATGCAATGCCCATTATTAACAACTGGAGCAGATCCAGGTCTACATATGTCGTCAAGCTTCAGAGTATTTTTTTTAAGAGAATCTAAATAGACCTCTGAGGAGCTCTTCAGTTTACGCATTGAATTAGTCTATAATCATACACACTGTACGTTCATTATACCAATTAACTAGGTAGAGTGATTCAACGTGTATAAAAAAACAATAAAAAAAAATCTATTGTATTTAAAATGTAAGGTACGTATATACCTAACATACAACACATGACGACAAATTACCTTCTTATATGAAACAATATCTTCACCCGGAGATTTAACTGACCAGATATATACTTCAATCTTTAAATCAAGGGTGTCTGATTGACCCTAGGTAGGAGATTATCTAGTTTCATAATGGGATAAATTTATTACTGCCTATTTCAGAAATGACCAATAAAATGTGAAGATGAAATGTGTCTTCCTTATGAAGATAAGTGTCCAATAGAAACAGTCAGACAAGGTGAATTACCCATAAATCTACCATGAATTTTATCACAACAAGCCAAATGAACTTTGTGTGGGTCTTCTAAACAATGCAATGGAATGTGAATAAACCAGATACGAGACGACTGAGGAGGATGTTTGTTAAGGACATTTACACTTGTGATCATTGTGTACATGTTCACACTGGTCAACTTGGATTGTCTTTTATTGGGGGCATATCAGGTGAGGTCACCCCAGACCATAATAATAAAGGATGAGTGTTCATTAATATACAGTTGTGTATCAAAGCTGTTCAAAAGATGTCCAAACCAATCAATTAATGTCTTTTAATCAGCATTAAACATAATGATAACTGGTTTACTTGCAAGGTTTATCACCCCATCAACTCACAATCAAAAGAGTGTAATTAATTTAACAAGTAGATGTAGTGCACAACATGTACAATAATATTAAAAAGAAGTGTATGGTGGGGAAGGTATAATTTTTCCTCAACAAAACCTTAATTTATGTCAGTGTAAGTCTACTATGTTGCACAGAGTCAAAACTGAAAGAGGAGGTCCCTAGAAAAGTTTAAAACTATAAGGAAAAAGGACACAGAGGACATTGATGCTATCCAAACTTAATCAAAATGTCCATTGGATAAAGCCTACATTCAAAGAAATCTGGTGAAAATTGAGAAAGGAGATGTTTGTTCAACAATAGACAATGTTTGATGTTGTCTATGACACCATGATATTTCCAATTTGCTCATCTCCCTAAATGCACACTAATAAAAGACTTGCCACCTATTACTAAGTGATTGTGACAGTAGACTGTGATGACAGTAGACTGTGATGATGACAGTGGACTGTGATGGTGACAGTAGACTGTGATGATGACAGTAGACTGTGATGATGACAGTGGACGGTGATGGTGACAGTAGACTGTGATGATGACAGTAGACTGTGATGGTAACAGTGGACAGTGATGACAGTAGACTGTGATGATGACAGTGGACTGTGATGGTGACAGTAGACTGTGATGGTGACAGTAGACTGTGATGGTGACAGTAGATTGTGATGATAACAGTAGACTGTGATGATGACAGTAGACTGTGATGATGACAGTGGACGGTGATGGTGACAGTAGACTGTGATGGTGATAGTAGACTGTGATGACAGTGGACAGTGATGATGACAGTGGACTGTGATGACAGTAGACTGTGATGATGACAGTGGACTGTGATGGTGACAGTAGACTGTGATGATGACAGTAGACTGTGATGGTAACAGTGGACAGTGATGACAGTAGACTGTGATGATGACAGTGGACTGTGATGGTGACAGTAGACTGTGATGATGACAGTGGACTGTGATGGTGACAGTGGACTGTGATGATGACAGTAGACTGTGATGATGACAGTGGACTGTGATGGTGACAGTTGACCGTGATGATGACAGTAGACCGTGATGGTGACAGTAGATTGTGATGATAACAGTAGACTGTGATGATGACAGTGGACTGTGATGGTGACAGTAGACTGTGATGATGACAGTAGACTGTGATGATGACAGTGGACTGTGATGGTGACAGTGGACTGTGATGGTGACAGTAGACTGTGATGACAGTAGACTGTGATGATGACAGTGGACTGTGATGGTGACAGTTGACCGTGATGATGACAGTAGACCGTGATGGTGACAGTAGATTGTGATGATAACAGTAGACTGTGATGATGACAGTGGACTGTGATGGTGACAGTAGACAGTAATGATGACAGTAGACTGTGATGGTGACAGTGGACTGTAATGGTGACAGTGGACTGTGATGGTGACAGTAGACTGTGATGACAGTAGACTGTGATGATGACAGTGGACTGTGATGATGACAGTAGACTGTAATGGTGATAGTTGACCGTGATGATAATAGTAGACTGTAAGGATGACAGTAGACTGTGATGATGAAAGTGGACTGCTGGACTATTGCCTTCAGCGTCTACAATAACTCAAGATATCAATACAATGATCAGTGATTTTGGTCTCTTACCATGATGGTACGACTGTTCCCACCCAGCGCTGATTGTAAAAGCATTGTGAGTACAGAGTTGCGGTATGGCACCATGACTTTCTTCTTTGATGTTGCTTGGTCGGCAAGGGCACTGAAAATTTGATGATTATCGTAATATATTATCAGATAAATGCAAAAGAAAACATAGATTGAAAGATCATGTGAAACTGATACAAGGAACTGTTTCTAGACATTATCTCGTTTACTACCTGATGACATTGCCTAGTGTAGACAGACTCTGGTTGATAGCTGACCCTTCCCGCAGTCTGTCTCCGGTAGCACCAGTAGAAGCACTCCTCTCTGACCCTGCCAGGTCAACCAAATTGATATCACTGCTTCTGGTGTTACTCTTGCCATCAGCGCCCATTATGACCTTAAGTTAAAACACAATGTAATTAATATCTTGAAGTACAGTTCGGTTACAAATACAGAGGACCATAACTTTGTAAATGGTAGAAAACCTGAGCAAATTTCAGATTGATCAGCATGCAACACATTGCAAGGTGACAGAAAGACTGAGAATCAAGACAAGTAAAAACCCTATGTTTGATATGAGACACCATTATAGGGGATTATCAAGTTTATATTAACAAACTTTGTTTAACAACATTAGCAAGATTAGATTAACAAGATTCAACATGTTTAGATTAACAAGTTAAGAATAAGAAGGTTAGATTAACATGGTTAGATTACCAAGATTAACAAGTTAAGATTACGCAGATTAACAAGTTAAGATTACCAAGATTAACAAGTTATGATTACCAAGATTAACAAGTTAAGATTACCAAGATTAGTAAGTTTAGATTACCAAGATTAGTAATTTTAGATTACCAATTAAAAGATTAACAAGTTTAGATTAACAAGATTAACAAGTTAAGATTACCAAGATTAGTAAGTTTAGATTACCAAGATTAGTAATTTTAGATTACCAATTAAAAGATTAACAAGTTTATTAACAAGATTAACAAGTTAAGATTACCAAGATTAGTAAGTTTAGATTACCAAGATTAGTAATTTTAGATTACCAATTAAAAGATTAACAAGTTTAGATTAACAAGATTAACAAGTTAAGATTACCAAGATTAGTAAGTTTAGATTACCAAGATTAGTAATTTTAGATTACCAATTAAAAGATTAACAAGTTTAGATTAACAAGATTAACAAGTTAAGATTACCAAGATTAGTAAGTTTAGATTACCAATTAAAAGATTAAAAAGTTTAGATTAACATGATTAACAAGTTATGATTACCAAGATTAAAGTTTAGATAATTTTAATTACCAATTAAAAGATTAACAAGTTTAGATTAACAAGATTAACAAGTTAAGATTACCAAGATTAGTAAGTTTAGATTACCAATTAAAAGATTAAAAAGTTTAGATTAACAAGATTAACAAGTTAAGATTACCAAGATTAGTAAGTTTAGATTACCAAGATTAGTAATTTTAGATTACCAATTAAAAGATTAACAAGTTATGATTACCAAGATTAACAAGTTAAGATTACCAAGATTAGTAAGTTTAGATTACCAAGATTAGTAATTTTAGATTACCAATTAAAAGATTAACAAGTTTAGATTAACAAGATTAACAAGTTAAGATTACCAAGATTAGTAAGTTTAGATTACCAAGATTAGTAATTTTAGATTACCAATTAAAAGATTAACAAGTTTAGATTAACAAGATTAACAAGTTAAGATTACCAAGATTAGTAAGTTTAGATTACCAAGATTAGTAATTTTAGATTACCAATTAAAAGATTAACAAGTTTAGATAAACAAGATTAACAAGTTAAGATTACCAAGATTAGTAAGTTTAGATTACCAATTAAAAGATTAAAAAGTTTAGATTAACAAGATTAACAAGTTATGATTACCAAGATTAACAAGTTAAGATTACCAAGATTAGTATGTTTAGATTACCAAGATTAGCAAGTTTAGATTAACAAGATTAACATGCTCAGATTAAAGAGGTTAAAGAATCTGGGGAAATTCTAACCTCTTAACCTGTTTTGTTGTCATCGTATCATTGTTACAGGTATAACAGTATGATTCTGCCCAGTGATCCTCACCATATAAATTCTCGACCGAAACATTCAACAGGACACAAACTGATTCCGTTTTTTTGTTTTTTATTACAACTTAGTTTATTACTATGTACCAAATGTTGATGCCACTTGTCAATCTTAAAAGCTTATAAACCTGTAAATAAATCATGTAAATCCTGGATTCACAGTGGATTTATGGTCATATTTTATCAAGTGGCCTGCAATGCTAAGTACTAATGAAAAATATGACGTGTTCATCCCACTGGCTTATGTAAAAGTCTTTTATCTCTTGTTTACCTTTTAATTTGTGTTACACAAGCAAGGTACAGGTGAAGTGTTTCTAAAGAAGTATGCCATAAAAACATTCCTCACCATGTCTACCTTGATAAGACGAGGACGAGGGATTCAGAAAGAGGTATATTGGACAAGAATTCCACAGAAGTGTCGCCTGGCCAACAAGGATTCTGGAGATGAGTTTTATCAAAAAATAGCCATAGATATTCATTGCATTTATTCTATTCATACAATTTGTCCATTTGTTTGAGATATGATGAGTAAACTTGCAAATTAGATGTATAGTGTCGAAGAGAACTGAATCCTGGGGGTAGATTTTCCTTATCAATACCACTTAATGTTTTTATCTTAATTCTGATTTTTCAAAGATAGTTATGATAATGCTAATTTGCAATAATTTCCATTTAGAATGTATATGTATCAATACTTTTAATGTAAATATGAGCATTTGCTATATATGTTAAAACTGGTGTAAAAGCATGAAAGTTATTGCCATTTGCAGTACATTGCGTTATCTTGCAGTTTCTGTGACATACAGTGAAGAGTCTGGAAACAGTTCTACTTAATTGAATAAAATGAATATTCCCATAGATATCTCCAAAAATTGACCAAACACTGCATTAAAGCTACATATGATGTTGTGTTAAAAAAACCACCATATTTGAGGATTTGATTTTTATTTCCTCACAGGGTATTTATATAAAAAAACAAACGCAGAACATGCATCATATTTAGAAAAGAATCATTACAGAACTGATTAAAGCCAAATTCAAACTTTGCACCAAACTGTTAACAAGCGAGTGAGTACTCATAAACCAGCGATATGAATTTACAGGTGAATGTTACTGTGATTTTCTCACTCTGTGCAGACTCTTTTGATGCTTTGATTTGATGGTCCATCAATAAAATTCCTATTTTGAAAGTATTTATAGTGATCCTTGATTGTCGGAAAAAGCAATCACAAGCAAGCACTTCTGGTAAGGAAGCACTGTATGAAGTTTGATCAGCCAAAGTGAACTCAAGTTATCCTGACAAAAACCTTTGAGCAGACGATGGCACTACCAACATAGTAATACCTATATGTTGCTTTGGTTAGCAGGCAACATGAAAAGCAACTCATTTTGAAGTTTGGCATTATATGTATAAAATTTATTTTTTTTTATTGCCAACAAAGAACTTAGGTAATTATATCCATGATAAATCTTAAGAATGGGCCATTTACAAGACTTATTCAACAAAGAATTGGAGATGCCATATATTTGATGGATTACCAATGGAAATACGAGGCATATGTATTCAATAAAAGTATAATTTTTCATACCACAATACTTATCATCATTAGTTTGTCATCATAAATGAAATCATGCCATTGGATCACTTTAACCTCCTAGAACCTTTTGGTCAGTTGAAATAAATCAAAGAGCAAGTAAGTAGAAAGTTGAAGTACAAAAGTTCTGCCAGATGGACCATTATATGTCTGACACATGCCAAAGATATTGTATTGGAAAAAAATAGAAATATGGAAACGATCATGATTAAGACAAAATGTCAAGAGGGAAACCTGCTATGCATTTAAATAATAATAAAAAAATTAAATAAAACAAGTTTTTTTTTAGATTGAGAGAGAACTGAGAAAGAAGTCCCTGGACAAAATTAAAATGTTGGAAATAACAAAGGGCAACAACTCAGAAAAATTAATTAATTTATTCATGACAACACAAACTCATTTTATGGTTTTAAAGCCTTCAAAGTTTCAAAGAAATTAATGTAGTCAAAACTAAGAGGAGAGATATCTGAACAAGGTAAGGATGACAAAAAACAGAGTAACACCGTCTCTAAACGGTTGTGAAATTACAATGTCATTAGCAAAAATATGATTTCATGTTGTGGTTTTAAAGCCTACCAAGTTTCAAAGATATTGGTTAAAACTGAGGAAGGAGATTATCATACAAGATAAACATTAGGGAAAATACAATGAGCAAGGACAGTAATTCTTCCAAATAAGGTCAAATCAAACTGCCATTCAAGAAAACAAAACTTCATATCACATGATTAAGCCTACCAACTCTGAAAGAAATAGGTTGAAAACTAAGGCGGAGTTCTCAGGACAAAAAGAAAGTTAATGACAGATGGACAATGCCATACCGTAATATCCAAACAAAATTCTGACAGGCAAAATGAGGTGTTTAAATAATAATGAATGTAATATGCTAGAAAATTTTTCAATCAAATATCACAAAAAATACCTTCAGTAGCATGTTGCAAAAATGGCCTTTTTTTTTCTTCTAAATTACTTTCCTGCTTTCAAACTTTTTAATAAGATCCTTTTAAAAGTCATTTATCCTCATCATCCACACTAACCTGGGAATTAACACCTTAAACCTCAAAGATACAATAATCCTTAAAATTTACACCATATACCAGTAAACGACAACCTATATAAATCAATATTCAATGATACTTTTACAGCTTTTAATGTTGGGTAATAAATTGTTCAATGTTACCAACTTGTTAATGTTGACAGCTTAAGTAAAAATCTACTCCCATGTCAGGTCTATACTTGAATGTCATGATGCAATGATAAATTAAACAAATCACAGTTCAGATAAGACAGTATTTGTATACAAAGTTGTGGTAAACATGATGTAAGTGACAACTCATTTCCCAGTATATTTATCACATCAATCTCAATAAATTGCTCCCTTTGTTAGGCTAATTCAGCTTCCAAAATAAAAGATAAATGAATCTTACAAAAAGAATTAAATATTTTGGATAAATATACACCTTTAAGAACAGTAACAATTCTCATCCTTTCAAAATACTCTCAGGGAACAGGAATGTTTACTCAGTTTCATCAGTATCTCATCAATAATATTTAAAATACGCTTTGTAATAAAGTACATATTAAGCATTAACAGACTCGATCACATTCTAAAGTTTTGTCTTTTATGTGACACTTTAGTGTTAATACACATACTGACTGATCACTGTGTAAACAGGTTTTATTACATTTTGGTACATAGATTAATTCTTTTTCAAGATAGAGATGAATTATCCAAAGTAGAGGAGTTGGTTGTAATAAAATAGACCAAAGTTAAAGGTATCTGAAGCTACAGTTTAAACAGGATAGCAATATATTAGAAAATTTATTGAAGGCTTCAAAGAGAATATTGTTGCAACTCCCAGACACATTTATCAAATCGATTGTGAATAAGGTTAGGTCACTTCATGGGTATATGCTAAACTTGAAAATGTAGAAATGGTAATTTTATTCAGATTATTTCTGCTATATATAACAACAGTATCAACAATATACATAATATTATGTAAAGTACATATTATCAATTTACATTAACTTATGTGACTTTTAAAGATTACCATAAACTTTTCAAATGCATGTAATACATTTGCATTTATTGGTTATTTGTCAAGAACTTTGTATTCATTGGTTGTTTGTTATAAGTAATTCTATATTTAGGACAGTTTGTTGCACAATAACCCAGATATAGTCAAAAGTATTGTTTATATAAAATGTAAATGACAGTTTATTCAGTGCAATATCTAAAGCTGTCTTACATTCTAGTCATTAATCTTTTATATTTTACAAACAACATGTAACAATTTATTTCAACTTATTCTAATCACTCTTGTTCGCCTTGATGTAAGCATGTAGGAGAGGGACGGTCAGGAAACTGAAGTACACGGAAAAAACCTAAATGGCCTTTCAGGTGACCCCTACCTTTTCACAATCATCTGTGGAATAGAAACCCAGACGGCTAAGTGAAAGGCAAGTGCATTACCACTGTGCCACCAAACTACCTGAAGTTCAATAGTCTTGTTGCTTTTATCACACTTCAGGTTAATCCTGTGCACTGAAGAGAACTATTGCAAAAACACAATTTATTGTCTGCTTCCTATGTTTTCTCACTAAAACCAGTGGTGTCTATTTTTCATGCATCTATTTAAAAGATGTTGGCAATATATGTCAAAGAACTATTAATATTTTCAGACGTAATAAATAACTAAAATATAATTAAAAATATTTCTTTGGCAGCCTCTCAACAAAAAATAATAAAGGAACATTCAAATAAGATGCCCTGGTTTTTCTCACGTCCTAACAATGACTTATCTCAGGTGTTAACAGAATTTTTATCACAAGTGTCAATACAAATACAACATATAACAGATTATTCATTGTTCAGGTAGAAAGCAGGTTTTATTGTATATAACATATTGCTTTACCTTTACACTGTGCACCTTTACTCTCTATGATTTTCCATAGTCAATAAAACATAATGTTTGCCCCAGAACAATGATTACCGATTATCTCGATGTTGACTGCTTACGTCACAGCTCATTAATGTTCAGTACTCAACAATATCTGTCATTTACATTAAGCAATATGCCCATCCCCCCCGAAAACGGGGAAGCATTGCTGACACCAGCTTTCGATCTGTTGTTGACATGTTGTCTACCATCATGGACAGTTTTGCTGAATATACCGTTGAAGGCCTTGATGACATTCTCAATGACAATTTGTTGACTGAAATTTCCAACATGTGTCATGTTGAATCCTTGGACCAAACTGTTTAGTCTTCTGGTTCAATATAATACATGAAGACCTGGAAACCCAGTCAACAAATGTAAACCATTACCATGATGAGGGGGTTATTGTCATCATTACCTGTTCTATCATCTATACAAAAACAAAGAGACATTGGTCTGTTGATAATATATATCTATTAGACACCTCATTATAATAGACTTTTTGTAGATTCATCTATCTCCTCTGTATCTAAATATTTTGTTAAGACGGCTTTCAGAATGACCAAAATCCTTGTCTTAATAAAGTTCACAGTCATGAGGATTACAAGAAGCTGATGAAAACATTTCAACATTGTGATGAAATGTGTTAATTTACATACAAAATGCAATAAAGAAATTTCCTGAATGTAGTGTATGAAAAACCTTTTCAAAGTCTATGGCTGCTGAATTCAATAGAAAAGACAAGATGAGGCGATGTTCTAGTGACAGAAGCATATGATGATCTATGTTCACACAATGAGGTGACATAGAGAAATGGATGATGATGATGAAAGTTTACACTCGGAGGTGGTATACTGATGATAATAAGAAAACAATGAGGTGAGGACAATACAAGTTGACACCATGCATTAACCTGTGTGTATGATGATGGTTAAAACAATGATATGATGGACTCTACCTGATTGAAGCGTATGGTGATAACCATATGGGATCGTGATGAAGTAGCATTCATGTTGGTGGACGCAGTTGTTCGGTTCACTGTACCCTGCTCCATCAACTTTTCTATCTCCTTGTAGTTACGCACTGGCACATGCTGAAAGTACACAATTAACATTGTGGAATTAAAATCTTTTGGTGGTTTTAGAATAATTAACTTCATTTTTATCAAAAACAATCACCAATTAGTACACTTTTTTTAATCCTAATGTTCTCATGCAAAAGACTTGTGAAGAATATTTTGGACATTATTGCTAAAGAGTTAGTCCAGGATACCATCCCTACAACAAAGGATTTCTATGAAATTGTCATCAAAATTTTATTTGAGTTGCTTAGGGCCTAAATTAGTAAGATACATTAAAAGAAATGCTGAGTTTTGAAATGTTGCTGGACCTTTCACACAATTTAAAGCAAGCATGATAGTTAAGTACACTTCAGATAAGGATATGAATCACTATCATCAACAAAATGAAGACACTATCTCAGAATATCCAAACATAACCTACTTTTAGTCCCTCCACGTAAAACCCTGTCTTTAGGTCCTGTCGTATCTTCAGGCCACCTGTCTCTGCTTTACTCTTCACAAGAAGATCCCGTACCTTCTCATTGTATATTTCTAGCATACTGAAGGATACCTGCAAAAACAATCAAGTCTTTTATCACCACAAAAGTTTTGATGGAGAGTAGTTCTTAATCTCTAGCCCACTGAAAGATACCTGTTAAAGCAAACCTGGTTGTCAATGATTGCTTTGTGCTAAAGCAATGCCACATGTAACACTAAGTAGTCAAACCTCCATTTTCTTATGCTCCAGACAAATATTTTGATTAAGAAAATCTAGAACCCATCTGACTAATTCAAATCTGTCTATGACTCATAACAAATATCCATATAAGGACTCCTAAATGACCACATCCTTTTTCTTTTAGCAATAATTTTTAATCAAAATGTGTTTAATGATCGTAAATTACCTAATTGTTTTGATTGACCAATTCATATTAACAAGAGATCCCAGAGGGATCTTGGCGCCCACCATTTGAGGATCTGTTTTCAGTTCTTGAAGATTTGTTTACTTTTTTTGTTTGTTTGTTACAGGTGTTCATGAACTGGTCTTCATTGAATGTACTCAATGATGGCACAAGATATTTTTATTAAGCACCTATTAGCAAATATAATTTGAAAAAGATCCCAAAGCATTATTAGATAGCAGTCAGTTACAGGTGGATAATGGACAATATGCTTGTGCTGTATTACTGTCAACATCCAAGATGGCTGCCTGTGGGCCACCTTGATTTCAAATCAGTCCAAAAAAGGTACAATGCACAACTAGGGACCAAGGGAAACCAATATCTATGAAATATCAGAAGAATCCATCCAGTACTTCCTCAAATATAGCAGTAACAAGATTTTACTCTCAAAATCCAAGATGGCTGCCTGTCAGTCATCTTGATTTCGGATCAGTCCAAAAAAATAAAGGGAACCTGCATATGAAATATGAGAAAGATCCATCCAGTACTTTCCAAGAAATAGCGGTAACAAACTTTTACATCCAAAATCCAAGATGGCCACCTGTCGGCCATCTTGAATTCGAATCAGTCCAAAAAAGGTACAATGCACAACTAGGGACCAAGGGTAAACTGCATATGGAATTTGAGAAAGATCTATCCAGTACTTTCCAAGAAATAGCAGTAACAAACTTTTACATCCAAAATCCAAGATGGCCACCTGTCGGCCATCTTGAATTCGAATCAGTCCAAAAAAGGTACAATGCACAACTAGGGACTAAGGGGAAACTGCATATGTAATTTGAGAAAGATCCATCCCGTGCTTTCCAAGAAATAGCAGTTACAAACTTTTACTTCCAAAATCCAAGATGGCTGCCTGTCGGCCATCTTGAATTCGAATCAGTCCAAAAAAGGTACAATGCACAACTAGGGACTAAACGGAAACTGCATATGAAATTTGAGAAAGATCTATCCAGTACTTTCCAAGAAATAGCGGTAACAAACTTTTACTTCCAAAATCCAAGATGGCCACCTGTCGGCTATCTTGAATTCGAATCAGTCCATAAAAGGTACCATGCACAACTAGGGACCAACGGTAAACTGCATATGAAATTTGAGAAAGATCCATCCAGTACTTTTCCAGAAATAGCGGTAACAAACTTTTACTTCCAAAATCCAAGATGGCCACCTGTCGGCCATCTTGAAGTCGAATCAGACCAAAAAAGGTACAATGCACAACTAGGACCACTGCATATGTAATTTGGGATCCATCCCGTGCTTTCCAAGAAATAGCAGTTACAATAACCCACCATCTATTTGAATAGATGGTGGGTTAACAAATATGTAGCAACTGAAATCTGATATAACTGTGTTAAAGGGGATCAGGTGTACTATGCCAGTGACAAACATTACATGTACATAGACTGTGGGGTGGGGATCAGGTGTACCCTCCCAGTGTTAGACATTACATGGACATAGACTGTGGGGTGGGGATCAGGTGTACCCTCCCAGTGTTAGACATTATATGGACATAGACTGTGGGGTGGGGATCAGGTGTACCCTCCCAGTGTTAGACATTAAATGGACATAGACTGTGGGGTGGGGATCAGGTTTACCATGCCAGTTAAACACATTACATGGGTAGACTGTGGGGTGGGGATCAGGTGTACCATGCCAGTGTTAGACATTATATGGACATAGACTGTGGGGTGGGGATCAGGTGTACCATGCCAGTGACAAACATTACATGGACATAGACTGTGGGGTGGGGATCAGGTGTACCCTCCCAGTGTTAGACATTACATGGACATAGACTGTGGGGTGGGGATCAGGTGTACCATGCCAGTGTTAGACATTATATGGACATAGACTGTGGGGTGGGGATCAGGTGTACCATGCCAGTTACACACATTACATGGACATGGGCTGTGAGATGGGGATCAGGTGTACCCTCCCAGTGTTAGACATTATATGGACATAGACTGTGGGGTGGGGATCAGGTGTACCATGCCAGTTAAACACATTACATGGACATGGGCTGTGAGATGGGAATCAGGTGTTCCTTGACTGTAACAAGACATTACAAAGACATGAAATGTGAGGAAGAAATGTCCAACACAATTATTGTATTTATTCAAAATTAAGCCCTTTACTAGTGATTTCCTTATCCAAATGTAATCATTTGATTTTCCTGTAATGACCATGAATTTTACAAGAAGAATGTAGTGGACTTACTCTGTACGGTGACAAGACATGCTTTATCCCTACACTCACTAAACTGATGATACAGCAGATACAATATCCCTTCTGGAAAGTAAGCTAACTGACATTGACTGAACTAGTTTTAGAACATGTTCACAGTGAAAGAGTTCCCAGTCAACACTTGACCCAGATTTACATCATCATTCAAAAGTATCTATAGAAAATCTAAATTCCCCTACATTTATTATTAAGATGTGATACAGGACTGACAACAACAATTATAAAAACATTCTCATTTTTTTCCATTCCTGCATAACATTGAAATATGTTGGCAAACTAAACCATATACACTAAACTAGAAATACCAGCATACAGACCCACAGAACCAATAACATTACACAGATATATGTACAGTTCAAATATGCACAGTTTAAAATTCAAACAAAAAGAATACCCCGCAAATCTTTGATTAGAGGCACAGCAAGATCTCTTGGGAAAGCGGTAGGCAGTAGTGATAAAGATTTGGTATGTTTGTTTTGTGATTGATCACCAATATGTTGTGGTACAAATTACATACAAGGCAAGTAAATACAGATTGGTCACATATTCAAAACTGAAAAGTCACACTGAAAACATACCCCAGTTGTTAATTAAATGCAGTAGGGTACATCAGAATATAGAAAGGAAATCATCAATAATCTCTCTCAATCCTTGTCCAACCTTAATGTAATTAACCCATCAGTTAGTCCCTGTCTGGTTATATCTAGTGCAGTTTCAGAAGACATGCCAACAGATCAATGCCTTGTAATAAGAACACCTTATTTAGTAAGATTAATGTTGGCCCCTGGGCTCTTTTAAGGTAATAATAATTAACTTCACACCAAATATGGTCAAGTAATGATAAAATGTTTCAGTTCATTCACACTGAAGGATTTCATTTGTATTGACATGAAAAGATAAAACAAGTAGGATTTTATATGAAATACAGTAAATTCTCTTTATCTACTTCCTGGTTCATCACTGACACACACTTTAATGTCTCTATGTCTACTGAGACTCCATTTTTAAAGGTACACTTTATAAATTATGTTTATACATGACTTGAGATAGTGAAATTTTCACTCAGCAGGAGAGATAATTTACTACTACATATACTGTAAAGTAATGCTTTCTTGCACTCAATTTCTGTACAAAAACCGGAACAAATTTACTTATCAATGGGAAGAACAGACTATGAACAATGAAAGCATATACAATTATTATTACAACACAGGTCATCTAGCCGTAATATAAATAGCTCATCACAGAGGAATATTTTGCTCCACCTCATATACCAATAATAGGCTACTGTCACAAAAGAATTTTAATTAATCTTCATAGAATGTTTGTGTGCAGAAATACATTCATAGAAAACAATGTCAAGAGAGAATGTTTGTGCTGTGTTTACTAGATGCCTATAGCTACGATACATATTGTAGATACTATTTATTAGTCTGGTGAAGACCTTGGGCATTATGACATTATAACAGATGCATTATAACATGAAGCAGATCTATAGTCATGTGAATCAGAACTCAAAGAGGCAAATATTGATGTCCTCAAATGTCAAGCCTAGTAAACAGAAAATGAATCTATGCTGTTTTCTCTAAATCTATCAGAATCTAAAACCAGATGCTACATGTTGGCCAACCCGCTATGTGAACTTCATGAAAGAGGGTGAGGACTCATCCTTCATTGTATCAATACTGCCAGATTCTGATCCTTTTCATCAGTCAAGTAAAAGCTTAGTATTCCAATGAAATTCCAGAGGTATGGTAACGGAGTCTTAGAGGAAATCTCATTAAAAAATCTTGCATTCTTTGATCCTTGTGTCCCATGCCGATGTCAACACTATTTTGAGAACAAATTTCATAAGAATCTGATAAACCATTCATCAAAAGAAGTTGAAGATATCATAGTTTCTGAATCAGCTATAACAAATTGACAATGATTGAATCAAACCATAGGTATACCAAACACTGTACATGTTTATACATTCATAAAAATCAGCAAAATTAAGGAGTACCTGTTAGAACAAACCATACTTTGATGATTGTCAGTGTCAAAACATGATCTGCAGAACTTGACTGTAACACCTGGTGATGAGTAAATAATTTAGGCAAAGTTGATTAGGTAGATTCAGGTAAAAAGTATAATCTGAAGTTTGTATCGGCTTTCTAAGCTGTTTCATTAAGATGATAAGTTGCACTTTAACAATACAACATAGAACCAAAAGAAAAAAAATAAATAAGAGATATCAAAGACATACAGAAGCAATAACTTCTTTAATACTAGTGTTCTGCTACTGTGTAGAACAGCTTAAACGGACAAAGGTCCTCTCTAGTCCTACAGACACTACTGTCTGCATTGGTGAGTCATCTATACAATTTCA